AACTATCATCAGACAAGGAGCATTCACTAGCCGATTGTTGTGGGAAGAGGACCAAGATTCATGGAGCAACCACCCCAACATCAAAGAAAAGGAAAATAAAGGAGAACAAATAGTTTCTTCAAGCTTGCCCCTCTCAAAAAATGCCTAACACACTGCAATTTCAATTCTAGATTAGTTTAGCCAACTTTGAACATAATTTCCAGATTATGTACCAAAAAAAAAAAAAAAAGCCATAATTTCGAAATTACAATTCAATTTCCAAATCTTGTTCATAGTTTTAGTTTGAATCTTTTGTTTTGTTGGAGGTCTGCATAATGTAAGAAATTTCAAAACCACGGAAATCTACAGCATGATTTCTAAATCAAAGCTTTGAGACCAAATCTTACTTCATTTCTTGGTTAGCTTTTGTATTTTTACTCTAGTTCACTTAGTTTCTACAATTAGAGACCAATTCTCTTGCTTTTATTGTAATCATTGTATGTTCTTAGCCTTCTTAGATTCTCTTATAGGATGAATCTATCAATATTAAATTCCAAATTTAGTAATGTAGGTTTGTCATCCTTTTAGTCAAGTCTATGTTTTAGGTATGTTCCACTACACTTTTCAATTTTCATCTATCTTTTAGTTGTTATGCCTTTGATTTCTTTTTAGTTCCTACATTTTAGTTATTGTGTCTGTCTTCCTTACCAACAAACTGACTTAATTGACCCTTGATGTGGGAAGTCCCTAATGATTTTTCAAGGCATTATTTTTAATCCATTCGTATAGGAAAGCATCCCTCCTTCCTACCAATCATCTAGTCTAGGATGTATCTCTTTATTAAATTGACATTCTTCCAACCATCCAACTTGGAGGTCAAACACTTGGAAGGAGAGGGTTGTCAAGGAAGTACCTTTCTTGCTTTTGCTATAAAGCAAGTGGCATGCTTGAGTATGTTTGCAATGTGACAACCAAAGGGAGGATTTTTGGGGAAACACACTAACTATTGTATTAGGAAAAGTCCCCTAATAATAGGGAGGATCCTTCATCCAATGGCTAGTACATGGAACTCATTTTTTTTTATTAAATTTTGATTGGTTGTCATCTTCTTAATAAGGGTAATGATATTGGGACAACCTTTATGTAAAATTTTTTATATAACTTTTATATGTCATTAAATAAAGAGATGCATACAATATCACTGGTATCAATTGAGTGAAAAAAGTTAATTATTGAATAACAGCTAAGGTTATATAAAAAGATTATCTCTAAATAATTTTCCTCTTATTAATATCATACTCCATGTAGTCCTTTTTAACTATCATATTCATTAAACTTTATATAAATTAACTTGATAATTTTATAGCAACGACCTAAGTAATTCAATAGTAATCTACTTCTCTTGGAAGTAAGAGATTTTAAGTTAGAGTCGTACGGCATGTGAGTGGGTTGGGTTAAGGGATAAGAGAAGGTTGTGTTCCATTGTACAACAAAGATAAAAAAGAAAAAATTGATAATTTTATATAGCAAACAAATTTTAATTGAAAATTTTTTTGATCTAAATGAAAATACTCAACAAGAATAACATTTTTTTTTTATCAGCAAAGATAAATTTATTTTATGGAGTACAAGGGGTACTCCTACCCATTACAAATATAGTATCATCAAGGATATTACAAAGAACCACACCAACTGAAGCTTCACAAACCAATCTACAGAATAAATTCAAAATAATCATTTTAAACACAAAATGGACATACAAACAATTTCATGAATATCACGACTTTCCAGACTGCTGCACCACAATGGAGTATCTCGCACCCATCCACTCTTACTCTGTTGCCGAACCTTTCTGCTGTTTACGAAACAGCTTCAGCTCCCTTTTATATCTTCTCATTGATAGAGCACACCCAACTGGATTTACTTTCCACTCATGAAAAGAACAAACACAGCCTTGCACCTTGTTTTTGATCCAGAAGAATGACTTGGCTTGAATCATTTCTAATAGTCTTCCTCTAATGTTATTCCCATTATTAAACACCTTACTATTTCTCCAATACCATAAGTACCAAGATACAACAAGAGATATGCAAGCCCCCATCTCCTTCCCAATTATCTTACCCACATCTTGTACAAAAATCTCTGCCACTCCTAAAATATTATTAGGTATAACAGTCTCCATGCCCCACCATTGTAGAATCTCTACCCAAATAATCCAGGGTTCTTTACACATACAAAATAAATGATTAGCTTCTTCAACCATGTCACAACACAACCCACACATTAACTCCTCCTCCTGCCGAGAGACCCTTCTTTTCATAATATTCCTCTTAGTTGGTAACCTATCAATGCATAATCTCCACCCAAAGAAAGACACTTTGGATGGTACCAATCTACACCAAATTAGCTTGCTCCACTGGTCCTCTAAGATACTCTCTGTGGGAGCTAAAAATTCATAAGCCTTCTTCACCATGTATTTTCCCTCCAAATCATGAATCCACCTCCTAGTATCATTCACACCCTTCTTTAATTGAAAGTTCTCCAACACCTCCCACAACACCTCTTCCTCATCCTTCTCTCGTCCTATTCTCCCTCTCCTCCATTCCATTTTCCAACTCCATTTTTCCCCCTCCCATACCCCCATATCACTAATATTACCCAACTTATTCTTAGATAATTCATACAACCTTGGGAATAAATCCCTTAAATTTTTATACCCGACCCACAATTCTCTCCAAAAGCCTACCCGTTTCCCTTCTCCCACTTCCCACCTAAACCCCTCCACCAACATATTTTTTAGCCTCCTAGAACGACCCCCTACACTAATAATATCTCTCCAAATTCTAGATGTTCTCCAATTCCCAACTGCTGTAATGTCCACCTCCTCCCTCTTGCCCCCATAGTATTTCTCCGATACTATTCGTTTCCATAAGCTCTCTACATCCTCTCCAAATCTATGCCACCATTTCCCTAGCAAAGCCCAATTCTTCCTACGCAGGTCCATTACCCCTAATCCCCCTTTTATCTTATTCCCACACACCTTATCCCCCTTTTATCTTACTCCCACACACCTTATCCCATTTCACCCATGAGATCTTCCTCTGTCCCTCTACCCCTCCCCATAAAAAATTTCTCTGTATACTAATCAATTCAGTCATCACAGAATTTGGAATTAAGAACAATGACATATAAAAAGTGGGTAAAGCAGAAAGTACCGAGTTGAGCAGAGTGACGCGGCCACCAAAGGATAGCGAAGCAGCTTTCCAGACAGCAAGTTTGGCTCGAAATTTATTTACTAGCGGCTCCCATAACTTCTTATTTCCAGGATTTCCATCGACAAGTATTCCCAAATAACTAAAATGTGATTTCCCAACACCACAACGCATCATGCTGGCTAATCCTTTTACCCATCTCGCTGGCACATTATATCCATAAATGTTACTCTTACTAAAGTTAATTTGCAAACCCGACATCAATTCGAACCAATGCAGAATTGTTTTGACCATAAAAATATTCT